GAGGAGCAGGCGAATACCTCCCTGAGCACGCAGGCGGTGGACAGCATGACACCAGGAATTCAGGGGACCCTCACGTGTCATGGTGCCGTTAACTTCACATGTCTGGTCTTTACCTAAAAACAAATTAGAATAATACTGTTTTGGTTTTTTTCTTCTCTCTAAACTTTGCTAAAGACTTCAGCAAAAATGGCAATCAGCCAGTGAGGTCGGTGCTCTGCAGATCAATGGGAAGGAGGAGGCTGGCAGGTGGTGCGGGCAGATGAGCAGGTCTCTCGGCCACGCGTAGTCAGTGTGAGAACAGACACGTTGGTGCCAGGAGGTGGCACTGCGGCGAGCCACTCGGGGGGGAGCCACACAGAGGACCGTGGACAGCGTGGTGGGCAGGCGGAAATCAGAGTTGGCCGCCTGGGTTAGAAGCCCTGTCCCGCTCGCTCTGCGCCCGGGCGTGGTGTTGTACCTCTCTGACTCCGGCTTCCTTGTCTACAAAGGACATGTAGGAACAGCGCCTGCCTCGGCAGCTGCCCGGCGCGAGCCGAGTGAACACGTGCTGGATGCTTATGGTGGTGCTTGGCACATGCCTAGAGCCAGGAGGTGTTAACCACTGTCACCGCCATCATCTGCATCATCTCTTACTGATTTCTTCCACGAGAGACAGAGAGAGAGAGAGACAGGCACCCCCAACGGGGTCTTCGTGCTGCGACCCACACAGAGCCTCAGCCAGCTGGGACCGCAGGCACGGGCACGTGCGGAGCCTTAGGAGGTGAGCCGGGAAGTGGCAAGGAATGTCCCGCTCCTGCTGCTCCACCATCGCTGGCCGTTGGCTCCAGTTTAAAGCAGTGCGTCTGAGAAAAGGTTAATGGTGACTTCTCAGAATAGGACTCGGGGGTACAGCGGCCCAGCCTCCGTGTCCCACAGGTTTGAAGCTGAACTTCTCAGGTGCCCCACCTCCCGCCACTCTCTCACCTCCGAGACCTGCTCCTCCCTGGTACTCCGGGTTTCCCGATGCCTCCTCATCCACCCAGAGCTTCTCCCGACCTAACCTCGCCTGCATGCCCATCCCAGTCGGGGTCAGTCGTCAGCGTAGTCCTGTGTCTTGCCGCCCTCCTGCCTCCCACACTGCACTGTCTTCTGTCCACAGGGTGGAGATGACAACCTCACCGGGGGGCTATGCTTCTGGGCTGGTTTCCTTTGCATCTGGGTTCTGCCCTGCCAGTAGGACCATCCTAATGCAAACCTCATCACGTCAGACTCCTGCCTGGCAGTCTCCCCGACTGCTTTAATCCAACCCCCTAAACGTGGTGAATGGTGCGGCACCGTGACCAGACTGCCCACCTCTCCTGCTGCTCTGGCTCATCGCCGGCCCCCTCCCCCTTGCTGTGGATCAAAGAAGGGCACAGGTTCTCTGGGGCTCCTCCCACCAAGAGGAAGAGTTTATTTCCCCACCCTCAGGGTTCGGGCTTGCCTTGGGCTTTGCTTTGTCCCACAGAACGTGGCAGAAGTGAAGGTGCGTAACTTGCAATGGCGGCCCAGCTTAAGAGCCCTTGCGCTTGGCACACTCACCTTCTGGGGATGCTGCCAGCACCTGGAGAAGCCTGGACTGACCTCTGTAGGACGGAAGACCGTGTGGGGAGAAAGGCCCAACCACCAGCCAGCACCAGCCACAGGCATGTGACTGAGGCCACCTTGGGCCAGTTAGCCATGGCGGCAGCTCCGTGAATTAGGCCAGCCAGACTAACAGAAAACCCACCTAGCTGAGCCCAGCCTGATTTGCTGACCCACAAACTGTAGCAGAAAAAGTGGTTACAGTTTTCAGCCATTGTGTTTGGGCTTGTTTGTCACGCAGTGACATACAGCTGAGACCACTCGTGGCGAGGGTTGTCCAGCCTTCCTCGCTGTGGGTCAGGTCTGTCGTGTGTTAGGCAGTAAGTGCAGAGGTGCTGTTCGTGAAATGCCCCCTACGCTCCTTACCCTCTTTGGGGCTGAGCTTTCTGCTGAGGTTCTGCGTGGCTCTCGGGGTTCCTCTCAAGCATCCTTTCCTTTGACCCCTGGCTCTCCAGGATTCCCCTGCCACGGACTCATCACACGGCGTCTGCAGCCATTTTTTATTTGTAACTCTTACCTGCTAGTTGGGCAGGCCGCTCGCTCTCTGAACCGCCACATTTTGGTCCTCTGTAAGGGCCAGAATGACCTTCTTTGCCCCGGTATTGGGAGGGTTAAAGTAAAAACGTGTGTGACTGTTCAGGGGGCCTGGTCCAAGGGGGCGCCGAATAAATAGAATAAATAGTGCCTTTCTCCTGTCCCTCTGCCCTGTTCCCACGCCCCCTCCCTGAGCCCTGGAGCAGCGGGTCCTTTTAAGGTCAAGACCACCTGACTGGCCCTCAGCACTGGCATTAGCTCACAGGCTACGCATCAAGTTTCATGGAGGTCGTGAAACATGGTCTCTGTCCCCCAAGTGGCTGTCCGTTTCCCTCTGGAAGCAAAATCTCAGCCTTTAAACCTTGCCTGTCATGTATCCGATACACTTCTGCCAAGACCCACGAGGCCTTCGCTGGTCTGGAATGTCAGCATTCATTGTGTGTTACCGTCGGCTTTGTAACTGTTTCTCTGTCTTCTGGCTAATAAGTGCGTCAAGGTTATCCCCACTGCCAGTGCACGGTCCGAACAGGGTCCAGGCTTCCGAGCGATAAATGCAGGTGTCATCTCGGTTGACTTGTCACGCTGTCGGGCCACTCAGCGTACGTTGCACTGCAGCAGGCCCATGATGCACCCAGTCGTCCAGTTTTTCTTTCATTATGTTGCTATCCCCATTCACAAAGGGAAGAGTGTATTCAAAAACAAAACTAGGAGCCAGCAGGTGGCACTGTGGGTAAAGTGCTGCACTGCCACACAGCCGATTGCAGTTCGAGTCCCGGACTCAGTGGCTTGAAACTCATGCTGAGTGTGTGTTCGTGTGCACCCAAGATCCCAGGAGGAGAATGGAGAAGGGATTGCGGTGTGGCCATCCCTCTGGGGGATGACTTCTCACTTTTCCTCTCACTGGCCTTCTCTGTCTCTCCAGCAAACACACATGCCCTATGGCAAAAACCTTAAAAAGAAAAAAAAAGTAAAAAGAAAAACTACATATTTTCAGAAAGTGAGCAAGATTAGGTTCGAAGTGGAAGCAATACTCCCCTGTAGGGGGCCCCATGCACACCCGAGGGAGTCCTCCTAGGCAGAAGTCGGGGGCCCTCGTTCTCAGCTCTTGCAGACAAACCTGCTCTGTGCCGCCCTGGTTGGTCATCCTTTTTCATACACCGAATTATTCTGATTACAGCATTTTGAGTTTAATGCTTTAGGCATCATTGAGCAAGATCCAGCTGTCTCCGGTTAAGCGTAGGTGACATGCAGACTATCGATGTGTTGGACGGAATCGTTAAGACACACAGTCGCAGCCTCTTGACCACGGTTATGTTCTGGAACTTTCCCCTCCTGTTGTAAACATGTTTCCATAGGCATTTTCTATACTTACTTTGTGGGTGAGTTAATCATTAGGCAGGCGGTAATGATTCATCTAGTTCATTGAACTCCTGGCACTGGGTCAGGCAGAGTGCTTCTCAGCATGTTTTGTTCTGTTTATTCAGAAATGTTACTTTAATCCTAGTCCAACACGTTGAGCTAAAAGACTTCTAAACATGAGATACCGTATCTAAAAATTATAAAGACCGACAAAGTCCGAGCCGACCTGGTGGAGCAGAGCCACCTGTGGCCGGGCTGCCGGCTGCTGGCGTGTCAGGGCTCTGACACCAGATGAGACGCCCACCTTTGCCATCAGCCACGTGGGAAGTGTCATCACACTGATTTAGCTAAGGAAGGTGTAAGTAGATTTCTGCAGGTGATGTTCTAAACGTAGTGAGCGATGGTCTGAGGGGTGTCTGGATTAGATACGTCCGCCGGATCATACAGGAGGTCACGCAGGCGGAGAGCAAGACTCCCATCTGGAGCTCCCGGCTGCTCTGGTGCCCAGCAGAGCTTCCGAGCGGGAGAACCAAGTCCTGCTGCCTCTGTTCTTTTTCTTGGACATCTGACCACACGATATATAAAAATGTTTTGGTGGTGGTTATTTAATGCTTACTGTTAGAAGTGGGGCCAGCCTGTAGCTTAGTAAAGGGGACCGGATCCCACCTGGCCAACTGTGGTCAAATCTCGGCCCGAGTGGCTCTACAACCATGCTGCGTACATGCCCTGAATCCCAGCTGGATGGGGGAGTGGAGGCAAGGGGCTTGCAGCAAGACCACGCCCCACCAGAGGGGGCCCTTTCCCTCCTGTCTGCTCTTTCCTTCCTGTCTCTGTCTCTCTGGTGAGCATATGCACCCTCTGGCAATTAAAAATAAAGTACTGTGAGGTACTAAGACACTGCCCTCGGGGTGCTATTCATGACATTTATATTAGTCTTTTATTCCAATGAAATGACGCATCTTAGGTTTTTTTTTTTTTAAGAGTTTATTTATTTCTTCTGTGAGAGAGGGAAGTAGAGACAGAGACAGAGAGCTGGCACCCCTCGCAGCATCCTCCTGCCACAATGCACTCCCGTCTCAGCCAGCCCGGAGCACAGGCACACACCCCCCTGGCGTGCTCAGGGACACTGGGGACGTGAACCTGCATGTTCCCATTGTGGATCCGGGTGTGCTACTGGCACACCACTGCTCGGCCCCCAAACATCTTCACTCTTCAACGTACTTGATCCCAGACCCCGCCCAAGTTCCCCACCCGTGGCTTCCGAGGGAGAGTGAAGCTGACGCCGTGGGGCAGCCGCAGTGCGGAGGCCACGGCAGGTGGTGGACAAGCCTGGCGAGCCCATCGCGTGGGGGCGGGCGTGCCTGCGTCTGCTCTCCGGCACAGGGCTGCTCGCTGCCGCTGAGACGTCTCTACTCCCTCCCACACGTTTGCCCCTCAGCCTCCCGGTGATAGTTCACTCTGCGAGTTTCTGACCACTTTCTGACAGTCTCTGACTTCTGTTCTAGAGACCGTTAACAGCCGTGGTGGCTCTGGATGGGCGACTGCGTGTACCTCTGGCCATCCGGAGAGAGAGGCACAGCCACTAGCGGGAGCCAAGGTGAGTGTAGCAGCCTG